CCCAACATCTTTATCTTATTTCTCAGCATTTAAATGTTAAATACTCAGCTTCCTGCAGTTTAAGTCCATGTTGTACGGAAAGATGTTTCAGTGTATTTCTACCATTAAACAGACATTACAACGAGCACTGTTGACATGTTTCACACACAATCCACCGTTTTGCCCTAGTTTCAGCTAGCAGCATGGATCACTGGATGAAAACACGATGATTCTTACGCCACATCTGCAGCTTTGATTCTATAAAACCTCTGAAGCAGAACAACTAAAACAAATAAACCGAAGCCTGACATAATACAATGCCTGTATTTTGACATAGTAACTGTCAACTGTCATGATCTGCAGCATTCCTGTACCTTCCTCTTCTACCCTCCTCCTCTACCTCAGCTCTGTTTCAGCCTGTCACCAAAGCAAACACACAGAGAATAAACACTGTCAACATCTTCCCCATGATTGTGATGTTTGTATCTCTGCTGCAGGACGGTGCCCACGGAGGACAAGTCTTTTGCTGTGGGAGTGCAGTACATGCTGTTCAGAGTGCTCGGTGAGTCACATATTTCCCTCGGCACCTTGAGCAAGACATTTTCAGTCAAGGGACAGTTTCTGCTGCTGACTGCAGTACACTGAGCGGCCACTGGTGGCGCTGTTAGTGACAGTTTAATAAAAGTTACAGATAAAACCAACCAAACAAATAAGATCTCTTTATATTCCACTGTTATGATTGGCTGGGAATGTCTGTTATTGGAAAAGGTCTTGTGTCAGCTGCTTACAAGAAATGTCCTTCATCCTTTCATCCATCATAAATCTGTGTGTGTGTGTGTGTGTGTGTGTAGCGTTCATGCCCGGCCCGGTGTTGTATGGCAGTGTCATCGACTCCACTTGCATCCTGTGGGGTAAAAAGTGCGGTAAGCAGACTTCCTGTCTGTACTACAACCTGGATCGCTTCAGACAGAGGTGAGTCACACAAACACACCTGAAGCCCTGTTCAGACTGGGTTGATTTCTCTGGAGGGGGTGGGGGGTACATGGTCTGGCATACATTGAGTCTGAAGTCATAGCGATACTGAAGTAACTTTTTGTGGCTTCGACCCTGGAAAGTCCTGGGTTGTCCTCAGACGTTAGCTTGAACCTGCGCCCCAAACACCATAACAACAAAGACCATGACCACCTGTGTGTGTTTGTGTGTGCAGGTTTCTGGGCATGCAGGTGGTCTTCGTGTGCGGGGGGCTGCTCTGTTTCCTGCTGACCATCGTGGTCCTGCGCAGGAGGGCCAGGAGTCAGGAACCACAGCCGGAAAGCAAAGGAGGGTACGAGCTGGTGAACAGGGAGAAAACACTGGAGATCGCTTTGTCCAAAGAGAAAGAAGCGAACGGCATCAAGACCTGAGGCGAAGAAGGAAAGAATCAGAGAGGCTGAACGGGAAGCTGCGATGCTACCAAAGCAGTGTGTCGAGTGCCTGTATAACAAGGCTAAGATTACATTTCTTACATCCAATACAAATATTACAGTCTTTGCTAACATTTTCAGTGGTGGAAGAAGTATTCTAAAGTTCCATATGTAAGATTTTATGTGTCAGTGTGTGTGAGCAGACAGTGAACGCAGGGGTTGTAGTGTAGCTTTGTTCTCTGTGCCTGTGGCTGATCTCTAGTGTGTTGCAGTATGGTTGAGGGCATGACGGGTAAAAGGTTGGTGACCTGTTGGATGGCTCAGAGCCTTCTGCCGCGTCTCCACAACAGAGTGCAACCAGAGTCCACACACGAGTCCAACAGAGGTCCAAACCAGGTCCTGAACACAGACGTCGAACAGGAGTCACGACCCACGCGCGTCACAACACAGAGTCCACGGTCCAGGCAGCAGAGTTCCAACCGCAGAGTCCACACACAGCTCAGCAACACCAGAGTCCAACAGCAGGAGCCAAGCAAGACGTCGCGCAGCACAGGGTCCACCAGAGTCCAGCGCAAAAGGTCATAACGCGTCCAGGCAGCGTCCAGACCAGAGTCCACAACACGAGTCCCACAGACACGAGTGCGCAAACACCGAGGTCCGCAACACCGAGTCCGACAAGCACAGCAGGTCGAAACAGGTCCAAACAGGTGCAAACAGAGTAACACAGAGTCCAACACATGGGTCACGCGCTCAAACGCGGAGGTCCAGCAAACGACAGAGTCCCCAACACAGAGTCCAACACAGAGTCCAAAGTCAAAGCTAACATTAATGCTAAGCTAGTGGAACATATTGTCTGATTGTGCTGTTAGCTGGATAATGTTAGCTTGATTGTTAATGCGGACTAATTGTTAGCTAGCTAGAGTAGCACTGTTAGCTAGCTTCATCCACTGCCGATCCGTTTGCAGGTTACTTTGTCGGCTGGCTGGCTAATGTTAGGTTCCTTGCTTGCTAACAGTATCACTAGCAGCATACTAGCCTATCTGAGTGGATATGTTAGTTGGCTAACTTCAGCTCCCCCAGCTAACGTGATCCATAATACCAACGTACGTATTATGTCATTTATTTTCCAGCGTTTGGGCAGTTTGTCTCTTTTGGCCGACGCCCAGGATGATGCTCTCAACAGAACGCTGACTGCAGTACACTTATCGGCCACTGGTGGCGCTGTTTAACAACAGTTAAATTAAAGTTACATATAGAACCTTTAATGATAAAAAACAGCAACCACAGTGTACAAATATTCATTGTGCTAAATGAGCCATTTCACAATTAATACATCAAAAAATTGGATTATGATTATTGATACTGTGAAAGTGTTACTTTCATGTTGCAGCTCCTTTGAACTACTTTATACACTACTAGCTTCATCTATCTGAATCTATGAATCTAAATCTAAATAAATGTCGTTCAGTAAAAAGTACAATATGCCTCAAAAATTGTAAATGCACTTTGTTACTTTTCACTACTGAACATTTCCACTGTGATTACTGTTCGTATATAAGCTGATGCGTATATTGTGTGACGCATACTGTACACTTTATATGACGCAGTGAGCCCAAACAGTTCAATCTGGTGCTGAAGGTGAATGATAAGCTGCACCTCCTCTAACAAACACTCCCAGCTTCTCTACGAGTCAGGACACTGTGATCTGTAGGGCTGATTTCAATCACTCTAATTATCTGTAGCCAATCAGATGATATAAAAAAAAAAACATGAATCTTATGGAAGTCGGACTCGGTTTTTATTTTATCTGCTGCAGTTTCTGTTGTATTTTTTTACACATATTAAAAATGCTTTTACTTTAAAAAAAAAAACAATCATATATTTTTAAGCGACAAAAATGTATAAAAACATATTTTAACCAATTTGTTTTGATCATTGTTTTTACTGACGGACTGCAGCAGCTTTTTAACATGAATCACAAAAATCCAACTAATAGAACGTTTTATAAGAATGTGTTTTTACTGATATATATTTGTGTTTTCTGTTTAACCAAATATTTCAGAGCTACTTTGCTGAATGTTGTTTTGTGTTGCTTTATTTTGTAAATTCTTCACTATTGTTTGTTTTATAAATATGTTTTTTAATGTTGTAAAATGTAGTTTAACTGTACAACTGAGCCATGTTGTGCACAAAAATGAGAAAAATAATAAACTTTATACCTTTTGGTACTTTAGGTGTTGCTGATTAAACATGTATTCTTATATAAAATGTCAAAAAAGGCGCCTAAAAAGGCACATGAATAAAGAAAGGTCATTAAAACAAAGGGAAATACACTATTGAAGTAAAATACAGGAATTTAGTGAAACCTTCCACTAACTTCATGTAAATATATGGTTTTTATTCATTTCAAGTTCATTAATGTGAGTTCTTCTTCTAACTTGAAGTCTTTTGACTTTTTAAAATGAAGAGTTGAATGAATGTACTGTAGTTCAATCAACTCATTGAGTGAGTTTAGTAATACTTATACTAACACTTGTAATAATAATAACTTTATTTGTATACCACTGTTTACTACTAAGTGCTTTACATACACACAAAACCAGTAACAATAAAGAATGACAGTTGACAAGAAGAAAAGAAGAAGGATTAAGAGGAATATATGAGGTAAACAGATACAAACAAACTCACAGCAACAATCAGAGATATTAAACTAAAAACACAACACACACGATACAGCAGTGTGTGCTGAAATAAAATGTAAAAAATCATAACAAAATAAAATAAATCACAGGAAATATTATTTAAAGTGAAATAAAAGCCTGATTATAAAATGTTTAAAGTGGTATTTAAAAGATGAAACAGATTTAGCTCCAACAGTCTCCTTTAGTCCTGATCCTGGACTGTGGATCCACCAAAGGGGTCTTTTCTCAGGTCAGAAATATAACAGCTCAAATAATTTCAGTTAACTTCAGTTCATTTGTAAACCAGCAAATAAATTTACAGCTCAAAATTATTTTCACAATTTTGCCAAATTTCACAGCCACCACAGTTTCTCTGACACACTTTGAAGGCGAGTGGTATTCAGTTGGTTTCAATAACACTGTAAGAGAAAAAGTTGAGAAAACTGTTATATTGTTTTAAAATGAACTAATAATGATTTATGATCATTTATATTTCTTCTTTAAATTATGAATTTCCTCAACTTGTGTGCCACTTTCTTTGGTTTGAAGCATCTTAAATTCTTCTGATTGTGTTTCCTGGAAGGAAATTGTGACCCGCTGACAGATTTATTCAGGCTGAAGAGCCAAATACAACACACGACACACAGAGACAAGTCCAGGCAGCATCTTTAAAGTCGCTGTCGGCAGAAAAATGGTGCCCGCTCTGCAGCAGCAAGAACTCCTTAACTTGTTTTCTGCTGCAGGCTCAAACGCGTCGACTGCTCACACAAACTGTCAGTCTTTGCCCTCGATGTGCAAAACTCTGTAATGCTTCAGTGCTACGACACACTATACAATGACAACTCACCTTTACTCAGCAGCTACACTCGTCTCGCCACAGAAATCTGATTCCTTCAGCTCCTGGAAACGAGAAACAGCAGCTATTTAAACAATGAAGATTTAACAAAGGGTTTATAATGAGGGATGTCCTGATAAGGGTCGGAATCAGGGCTGATCTGAAAACAGTTTTAATGGATCGTTAACAGCTAAAATAAAGCTGATCAATATCTGATCCTTTCTGCACGACCCTAACACGACCCTGACCTTGATTCTGTTGGTGTTTTTATCCATTAAGAAATGTTGTTTCGTTTTGACTGTACGAGTAAATGGTCTGTGAGTTTCACGCTGTACGTGTAGATCAGCTCCTGCAGATCGTTCTGGCTATTGACAACTGTCAATAAAGTTTCATTTGAATGCTCAGAGGCAGATAGAAGTTTGCTTGGTGGCAATAACACTAACAAGGCAGAAACAAATAATCATGGCTCTGGTTATTTGTATAACACCACCTTGATCATCTGTGCGATTGTGGAAACTTGTAAAACAGGAGACTCTCTGTTTGGCACGTTGCACATTCATCCGAACATCCGACGGCCGTTCTGGAGCAGTTACTTAGTGTTACTGTGTGTCTGTGGATTTTAACAACAGGAACCATCTCCCACTCAGTTCAGGATCATTAAACACAAACAGTCATCATTCATTATGAACAACTGATATAACGAGTTGACCAACAGAGACAGGAAACCGTTTGAAGGTCTGTTTCAGCAGACAGACACGAGTCTGCTGCCACAACCAAACACAGAGGAAGTGAGTTTGTTGTTTAAACCGTTCAAGACTTTTATTTGTCACATAGACTCAGTAACGTTAGAAATATGAAGGCACAGCAAAAAGAGGTTGCATTCAGTCTCTTAATGAACCATTAAGGTATGATTTGGGTGTAACATGAATTAAACCAAATTCAACCTGTGGCCAAAAAAACACGCCTATGAATATTATATTCCATTTCTGACAGTATCCTCCTCAGTGTTACACTTTGCCATGAAGAAAGTAAGAAAAGAAAAGAAATAGGCTACAAACTCACACTTTTAGGATACACAACATGTTTTAATAATATAATAATATTAAACAGTATTATGTTATATTTATGCAGCATTTTACAAAAACAATGTGTGTGAGTGTTTTAACCAGGATTAAAATATTTCAGGACTGAAACAAATAAATCAGGAAAATAAAATAATACGGAAATAAAATTCAGTAAAACTCCCAAATAAAGATAAATATTAATAAACCAGATAAAACATGTTTTGAGAAGAAGATTCTGTCATATTTTTTTCACCATCTGGGGCCTTACAGCCTCTCAGACACCGACCAGGTGGCGTCAGCTCGGTCTGTGAGGGTTCAGGCTTCTTTAAATACCCCCCTTCCTCCAGCAGACCTCTGACCCTCAGACTTCAGCAGGCTTCCTGTGTTTTTGTCAATTACTTGGTTTCCTCCTGAATGTTGAGCAACACTGGTCACAGGTTCAAATCCCCACACTCATGTGGAAAGTGACAAATGAGAGTTTGAGGAATATTTCCACATAAGGCAGGACTCATTTCACTGGCTTTACTGACGCACAGCTTCCTGTCTGAGCATCAGCAACTACAAAGGTCGTCTGATTTGAACTTTTATTTTGAAAATACCACCACTGCAGTGCTGAGGTTCAACTGATGATTTTATGACCGAAGAATCTGGTCTTACTGGTTTCTGTTGTGGAGACCTGAAGATTTTTACTGAGTGTTTGTCTCCCTCTTGTGGAGACTGAGGTGTACAGAAACCTGACTGTTCAATAAAGGTAGTACTTACGGAGCCCAAAGCTAATGTAATATATATATTAATATAAGGCTTTGTGATCGTCACCCTCTAATTCTGTGGTTTTTGCAGATCTTGTGTATTTCCTTCCTGTATTAGTTATTTCTTATTTCTGCACAAATGACTCAGAAAGTACTTAAATTTTGCATCAAAGTGTTTTTGTCATCTGAATGTTATTTCCACCCGCCCTTCCAACAGTGGGCGGTAGGCAGTGCTGTCGCCCCAAGAGGAGAGGAGGGGATCGGGATGGGAGCCAATGCTGACAGAGACCTGCTCCATCCACATCCTGGATCCTGGAGAGGCGGAATGTGTTTACAGCGATGATGTTTGGTTGCAGTCAAACTGAATGGACGCTGTCTGTTTCTATGTGAAAATTAAATCGTACTATGATTACTGTCTTGTTGCTTCTGTTTACATTAACCCAGACGCACATTCAAAAGATGACCTGCAGAATTATTTCCTGTATATATGGATGTAAATAACTGTATATATTGCTTTATTTTACTTTAATATATTTTAATGCTCTTTTATGTTATTCTATAAATGTGATTATTTATATGGTTGCATGAAGGAACTACAAACTGTTATGCAGCTTTGTGTTGTACAGTATAAGGATGAAGACATTTCCTGTTGTATGGTTAAATCAATACATTTTATTTTATTCTCTAAAATTCTGCGTCCTCTGAGAGTCCAACTCTTCTTCTGTGTCTCTTTTACCCATCTGTCAGTTCAGCGTTTCAGAAACCTGAGGAATCTCTGACCGAGGAAAATCAAGAACACATGTGCACAAATAATCAGCTCTTCACATTCTTCTTTCTTTACTCAATCGATCAGACATTTCCTGATTTAGATCCTCATTCTGTTGATTTCATACTCTTTTATTTCTTGTTTTGTGTCAATGCATTTGAAGTTTCCCTCACTGTGTGCAGAAGAATGTGTCAGTACTGAAGTATGGAAAATCAGTTTTGCTGTCAGTGACTGCCAACACTCGCTGTGCCAAAATATTCTTGTGCAGGAAGTGTTTCACATGTGGAGAAAGGATCAGAAACTGAGCAGCTGCTTCTGTGTCTGCTCACTGACTTCAGTCTGAGAACAAATATACGCCTGCAGGATAAATACTTTAATTGTAGATACCTGGGATTTTTAAGGGTTGAGGATTAGAGCTGGTTATCTGACATCCACCTGTGTTATTTGCTCCCCCTGCTGGTTATAATGTGCATATCTGATGTTAATGTGTCTATATGCTGCTTTCTTTTAGCACCCGGTCTGTCCGATTGGGAAAACATAAACAGAAAACAGTGAACCTCATTCAAAATCCCATTGACATTTTTAACAGTTATAATAGCTAAAAGTCCGACCAGTATGACGTGTGGCTCACTTCGAATGTTTAACATAAGGTAGTAAACAACAATCTAATATAACTGTTTATTTCAGCTGCATTTAACAAACACCATTTCCCATAAGCCCCAGGATAAACACTGCTTAACAGAAGAGGTGAGTTTTACTAAGTAATGCCATTTATCAACAGACGCTGGGAGTCTGGGCCAGCCACACAGTGGATACGGTGGCTGAGAGGGATCAACCAACTGCAAAAGCAACAACACAATGGACATGAGCGACAACAGATGTTTACAATGAAACAGGGTGGACTTATTGCCACACACGCAGAGCAGTTTCCAGACTTTATTGACTGAAAATCAGAAGTGACAGCACTCAGTACCAGTGAGTACCAGACCTCCATCCTCAAAGAATAAAACACAAAGACAAAGAGCAAAAGAAGTCTGCTTCTCAAGTCAAATAACAGCCACCTCCTTAATGAGGAGCACCTGCAGGGAGTGAGAAGAGAAAGGAGGGCAGCAGGAGCCGAGGGCACACACGGCACAAAATTAGCACCGGTCAAACGCTAGTAAAATATATGTATATATGTATATATAAGTGGTAAATGTGCTTCACTTACAAACTAAAAGAACAACATTAATCAGTTGAGTGGCTGAAAACATTTGAACATTCACTAACCATCCACCCTGTCTGTGGAGAGTTCAGTGTCTGCAATAACAGTGGGACAGTTTCACTACTGTTATTACAGATTGCTTCATGAGTTAAATAACATAACATTGGATTAACAGCGTGCTGGCAGCCCCTGCTGGCTGCAGAGGGCCATTACACTAATCTGCTGGGCAGAACCTCTCATTTGTCCCTTACAGAAGAAACACATGAATTTCTCATGTTTCCCACATGTGATCACAACGATCACATAGGTTTCACACAGGATTTTACATGGGCTTCACACTTGACACCACAAACACGTTCCAATACCACGTTTACCATGTGCAAAATTACATGTATATATGGTCACATGTGAAATTCATGTGTTTTTTGAACATGAAATTGATAGATAAAAGATACAGAATGATTATGCGTAACTAGTTATTGTCCATTTTTTATGGTTTAATGTTAAAAACCCAAAGTTTATTTTTCACTGTGAAATGAGACCAGACTCCTCGTTCAGTCTGTTGAAGATTAAACGTCTGTGACTATGTTTGGTATTCAAACAAAAAGCTGTCACTGAGTCGTGTCCTGCACAATCATCCAATGTGAAAGTTCTTTCAAGAGAAACTGCGCTGGAGTTCGTTCTGAGGATGTCAAAATGAGACACTGAGAGCAGGAACATCCACCATCTGACCAGTGGCTGCTGGCATGTTTTAAACCAACTCTTTAATCAGATCTTTATTTTTTACATCTGGTTGTGTAAAAACACCAAATCTGATGAGACATGTTTTGTTTTATTGTCGTGTTTATTTCGTTTCACACAAATGACAATATTTGATTTCTTAAAAAACAATCTTTTGGTATCGTCAGTGTGTTTGTGTGTCAGATTAAAA